TCAGTTGTCATAGTATCAGTGCAGCCTATGATTACAATCTGAGCACTTGGTTTGCAATTACGACATTGCAGCAAGCCATGGTCATGTGTCTGTGATTTCCAGTATTCCCTGCTGACATCTCACAAGCAAAGTCAGTGGGGAAGCCAACAGGGAGTCAGAAGCTGTGGTTACATGAGGTCCTTGACACATAGCCTGCACATTCCTCATTTAATCATCATTAAGGATATGAAGGAGACAGTGTGAGACAGAGGGTCATGGAGAGTGCTGATCCATAGAGTGATTGAGGGTTGGACACGACTGAATGGCTGACAATGACATGCAGGCTGTCCCTCAAGAACCTCATGCAGTGGTGGGATTAAAATATGTGAACAACCAGTTCTCTGTGTGGATGCCACTTCCGGAAGTCCATTCTGGGCCTGGCCAACAAAAAAATTAGCTACTGGTTCTGCTGAAGTGGTGCAAACCGGCTGAATCCCACCACTGACCTCGTGACACAATTTCTCACAATTGGGACTCTCATTGCTAAGTGATGCACTCATGTGATTCTGTGCTTTATGACCACATTGCTTAGTAACAGCGATTTGGATCTCAATTACCATCATAACCTGAGGACTACCTATATTTGTGTAGCTCTTGCTTTGCAGAGATGCATACGGCTTCAACATTAGAAGCCTTGATGTGTCAGCTTGCTCCTGCTGCAGGAACAACCAAGTTGTATTTGTAAGTGAACAAGATACAAATCAAACTCTGAAAGTTTCTAGAAGCCATCCCTTGGAGATAGATGAAAAGCTCTCCCAGAATTTCCAAGAACTCAGCAAAGTAGGGAGGAAGAATTTCTCACTTATCCATACACAGAGGTGTGCATTAAATTTCCATTGTTCTATGTAACCTTCTTATGACTTCTTTTAAAGTGGCTTTTCAGCTGTTCCAGAAAGTTCCCTGCTGAAGGTTCATTCAGTTTGCAGGGAATAGCTTAAAGGGGAAGTTGTATCATCTGGATACTTACTTACTCACTTACTTACTTAATCTTTATGCCACCCCTCTCCCTCTGCAAATTCAGCAGCTAGGGCTGAGATAAAGAAAGTTCACAAGGCCCTTGAAGGGCAAACAATTTTACTCCTTGAGGAGGGTCAAGTTTAAGACAGCAGTAAGACCAGCACATTTGTATGTAGAGTCCCAGCGTCATATTTGCAAGCTGTTACCATAGCCTTTGAAGCTGAAAACTGAGATGAATAAATATACTTTACAACAACTCTTGTGAATTGATTGCATCTACAGATTCTGTTGGACATTTTTAATACATCTTTTAATTCATCTTTAAATACTGTAGAATGGCTTTTTAAAAATGAGATAGAAGAGAAGTAAGCTAATGTCATGTTGTATGCTTATTATCCTTCAGCCTGTTCAATCATTCCACTGGACATTCAAAATGGGTTACAAATGAGCTGTTTCTGCTGTCCTTTCTTGTTCCACCCAGTTGATGGGCAGTTGGGAGATCCAAAGGAGAGGTGAACTCAATTTTGCTTGAAGATGAGCTTGCTTGGTCCCAGTGCAGAGAACCAACCTTTATTCAAGCAAATGCCAAACCTAGAGTTTCCTTTCAGTTTTCTTAGTTGACCACAAGAAAGTCAAGAAGGAAAAAGGTTGGAAGCCATTTAGTGCCTCTTGGTTCTCAACTCATTGAACTTGGCCCATGGCTACCAAGTTGTTATGAGGTTACACAACGCAAGACAGATTTCAATCAGCAAATTGTTTCATGCTATGGAGACAACACAATTTGCTTTGCTAAACTGAGGAGGCCCCCTGATAGGGGTCAGCACTGACTGAAGCGCTTCAAGGAAAGGCAGTTTGGGATTCCTTTGAGCCATCCAGACTGAAAGAACTGAAATATGAGGGAGATCTCAGTTGTGACGTTGACCCTTCTAAACTATCCAGTCCAGACAACCTTCATTATGTATGAAGGAAATTCCTGGCTGGCTTGCTATCTATACAAGTAGTCCTCGACTTATGATCACAACTGAGCCCAAAATTTCCATTGCTAAGCGAGATAGTTGTTAAGTGAGTTTTGCTATGCCTTTCTGGCCATAGTTGTTAAGTGAATCACTGCAGTTGTTAGTAACACGGTTGTTACCTTTGCTAGTCAGAAGGTTGCAAAACGTGATCACTTGATCCCGGGACACTGCAATCGTCATAAATATGAACCAGTTGCCAAGTGTCTGAATTCTGATCATGTGACCATGGGGAGGCTGCAACGATCATAAGTGTGAAAAACAGTCATAAGTCACTTTCTTCAGTGCTGTTGTAACTTTAAATGGTCACCAAATGAATAGTTATAAGTCAAGGACTATCTATTTGTGCATGCATGCATGCCCACGCATCTTCACAGCCCTATTGGTTTGGCCCTCCACAACAGTCCCAGTTTCTTGGGTGTGGTTTACTGTAAACATTTTCTAAAGCAACTAAATCTTTTCAGCCTGCCACCCTAGGCTGCATCCAGCAGGCATATAGTGTATGCTAAAACAATCCTGCTGGGAAGCACTTCAGCCATTATTGTGGAAGAAGGTTCCTGTCTCCCTCTTCTTCTATCAATCTCTGTTCTGCTCTGCTCAGGTTTCTCCCGAAATGAGACCTCTGCTTTGCTTGCCTTGTTTCCCTCCTGCATTGATCTGAGGGGGCCGTTCATTCACAGCTTCAGAGCAAAGCTTTACACAGAGTTAGTGGTTACCTACTACCTGAAACAAGGTAAATGATAATTGAAGGTCCCATTGATAATGAGTAGTATTTCCTTTCCTCAGATAGGGAATCCCCTGACAATTTTCAGTGCTCTTAATAGAGCTCCATAAGTGGAATCAAAGCCTCGTCCACTTACATCTTCTCCTCATAAATAAATCATATTTGTTTTCCTAGGAGGGCCCCCTCTATTTCATCTTATTGATCCAATTTAGAAAACATTAAATTACAGGAAAAGCATGCAAAACCTTCAATACAGACCGTGGCTAGAGATCATATACATCTCCCATTCTTTATTACCTTTGGGCGCTTGACCTTCCCCACCAACTCTTAAAGATGCTACCAGGAACTTATTGCATGACAGATGACTGGTTTCTGACTAAAAAGGCAAAAAGAGTTACCATTTTAGAAAAAAGGCAAAAAGAGTTACCATTTCTCTGTATTGTAAGTCTGTGGAATAGATGACTGCTTGGATTGATATTTTTCCTCTTAGCTAGAGGTTTTCCAGCAGACACTGGATAGTCACCTCTTCCAGATGGTGTAGTGAATCTTGCAGTCTTTAGGAAGTTAGACCTGATGGTCTCTTAGGTCCTCTTCAACTCTTGCCTTCAGACATTGTGCATCACTGGCAGTTTTTAAGAAGAGACTGGACAGTCATTTGTCTGGAATGGTAGGGCAGGGGTAGGCAACCTTGGCTCTTTTATGACTCGTGGACTTCAACTCCCGGAATTCTGGGAGTTGAAGTCCATGAGTCATAAAAGAGCCAAGGTTGCCTACCGCTGGTATAGGGTCTCCTGCTTGAGCAGGGGGTTGGACTAGAAGACCTCTATGTCTCTTCCAACTCTGTTATTCTGGTATTATATGTTCTTGGGAAATAAATATCTGTTAGATATTAAATAACACAAATTTATAGATAATGTTATGCTGTTTCCAAGTTGATTTAATGTTCATTTATATATACTGATTTTCTTGTTTGCCATTGATTTCTTCCATCATGTGAATTGGGATTTTCCCAATCTTTCCTACAGCCCTGGAGTCCCTAGATCAGGGGTCTTCAAACTTGGCATGCTGGCTGAGGAATTCTGGGAGTTGAAGTCCACAAGTCATAAAAGGGCCAAGTTTGAAGACCCCTGCCCTAGATGCTTCCTCCCCCCTTTAAATACTTGATCATCTTTCTAGATCAGCCAAGATTGACTAAATCAGGGGTCTTCAAACTATGATCCTCATAACAATCCTATTAGATCGATCACACTGAGAGATAATAATTAACTTCCAATAAAGCAATGATCTTTAGGACTAAGTAGACATTTTAATCTGTATCTCCTTCTTTTAGAGGAACTTTTCAGATACTTTACCACTATATCAGAAACCTGAATTGGAAACATCTTGATCTCAGACTTGAGTCTCAATCATAGAAACATCTGCAGAGAGGATTGATTTGGGGACTATATAGACTAGGGGTGTCAAACTGCCGGCCCGTGGGCCGTACACGTCATCGTGTACCACCCCATTACCGGCAATGGCGAAAAAGCTCCAATACATTGTGCGACGTCACGTGACCTCATGAGTTTGACATGTCTGATATAGACCTTGTATATATTCCCTAAAGTTGCTAATGAGTCTATTGAAATAAATGGATTTGGGGGAATGACATTTTGCAACAAGAACCAATCTAAAATGGGATCATAGTTGATAGATTCCTCAACCTTGTAATAAGACTCCCAGTGTGGACCCATTTTACTTATTTTTCAGTTTTTAGAAAAACAAGCCTGGTGGTAACTACACATTCAAAATAAGCTATTCTTGATTCTACTAAAATGATTCTTGATTCTACTAAAATGACAGGTGTGCAAGTATATATGCATTTATGTGTGTATGTGTGTATGTATGTATATGTATGTATTACTGCAGACTCTTTCTAGAGTAATGTGAGAAGGAAGGAAGGAAGGAAGGAAGAGAAAGACTGTATTCAGCAATATGAGTCATTGTGGTGTAGTGGTTAGAATGCAATAATGCAGGGTACTTCTGCTGACTGCTGGCTGACAGCAGTTCGGCAATTCAAGTCTCACCAGCTCAAGGTTGACTCAGCCTTCCATCCTTCCAAGGTCGGTAAAATGAGGACCCAGATTGTTGGGGGCAATAGGCTGACTCTGTAAAACTGCTTAGAGAGGGCTGTAAAGTACTGTGAGGCAGTATATAAGTCTAAGTGCTATTGCTATTGCTAATAACAGCAATGTAACTATAGGTCCGTTCCTGTTCACTCTTTCCAGAAATTGAAAAGTTCCAGAGTTCTGATGAGAAAAAGGAGGATGAAGAGAAAAAATATCTTGATGTCATCAGCAATAAAAATATAAAGCTGTCAGAAAGAGTATTGATTCCCGTCAAACAATATCCAAAGGTATTGTAATAACCTCATAATATATGATATATTGTATTTTCTTGATAAGTGGTTATAGTTATTGTTATAAACTGATATCATGCTCTAAATGCTTCATCAAGAATTGAAATGTTTTTGCTCCTCTTAGTTGTTTTGAATTAAATGGGTGATCTTTTTTTTTCAAACTGGGTTTTGGAGAAAACATGTTGGATGGGGATGAACATAGGGAACTGTGGGTATGCATAAAGACTATATCATGCATAAAGACTATCTCATGCATAAAGACTATCTATGCATAAAGACTATCTCAAATTTCATATTTGTAACAACTCATTTAAAGGATCAGGCAACAGCTGATGAACAAAGCTTCTACCTCAGATTTATTTTCTTATTTATTAAACAAATTTATATAGCTATCCAGGTCACACATAGGTGACTCAGGTGGCTTACAAAACTTACAGAACCTGAAGGTCAAGAGTAGATAAATAAATGACCAAACTAATCTCCTAAAAGCCAGCATCCAACCTGATTCAAATCCATGGGGTATCTTAGCATCGGTTTCATTCGCACCACTTTGTAAGAATAGCAGACGTCCTTTCATGCAGAGTTCTTTTAATTTCCAATAAACTGGAGGAGGAGTCAGTCCCATTTGTCATGAATGCAGAATATGTTAGGTGAAGGATGTCTGCTAAGTCATTTACCCCTTGATAGCAGTGTGCAATTTTGCCATTTTAATGTGGAGTGTTATGATGTGGTTTTTGTACTTTTAGATGTTTGGGACTGGAGTTTTTAAACCTTTCAGGGACCTAAGATTTCCAATCCTCTAACTGTGGCAGCCAGAATTACAATAATGGGAATGTTAGTTGGCAGAGTTTTGATTGATCTGAACATTTCATATATTTCTGAATTCTAGCTGAAGCAACAGCTGTTTTGGCCAACTACCGTCCTGTCTCCAACCTTCGCTTTCTTGCGAAGGTTGTTGAGAGTGTGGTGGCATGACAGCTCCCTCAGCACCTGGAAGAAACTGTCTATCTAGACTCGCGCCAGTCTGGCTTCCGGCCTGGGCACAGCACGGAAACGGCATTGGTCGCATTGGTTGATGATCTCTGGAGGGCTCGGGATAGAGGCTGTTCCTCTATCCTGGTCCTGCTAGACCTCTCAGTGGCTTTTGATACCATCGACCATGGTATCTTGTTGCACCGGTTAGGGGGGTTGGGGTTGGGAGGCACCGTTTTACGGTGGTTCTCCTCCTATCTCTCGGACCGGTCGCAATTTGTGTTGGCAGGGGGGCAGAGGTCGACCTCGAGGTGCCTCACTTGTGGGGTACCACAGGGGTTGGTCCTCTCGCCTCTCCTGTTCAACATTTATATGAAGCCACTGGGTGAGATCATCCGTGGTTTCGGGGTGGAGTTTCATCAGTACGCAGATGACACCCAGCTGTACATCTCCACCCTGGACCACCCCAACGATGCCGCAGAAGTGATGTCCTGGTGCCTGGAGGCTGTGCGAGTCTGGATGGGGAGGAACAGGCTTTGACTCAACCCATCCAAGACCGAGTGGCTGTGGTTTCCGGCGTCACGACATAGCCAGTTGGTTCCATCTCTGGCTATCAGGGGCGAGTCATTAGCCCCCGCGGAGAGGGCCCGCAACCTGGGCATCCTCCTGGATGCTCAGCTGTCTTTAGACGATCATGTGACGGCCGTGGCCAGGGGGGCTTTTCATCAGGCTCGCCTGATACGCCAGTTGCGCCCCTTTCTGGATCGTGACACTCTACGCACAGTCATTCCAGCCCTCGTTGTTTCCCGCCTGGACTATTGCAACGCTCTCTACATGGGGCTCCCCTTGAGGTGCACCTGGAGGCTCCAGCTAGTTCAGAATGTGGCCGCGCGGGGGATTTTGGGGGCCTCTAGATACTCCCATGTAACACCTCTCCTGCACGAGCTGCACTGGCTTCCTGTGGCCTTCCGGGTGCGCTTCAAGGTGTTAGTAACAACCTTTAAAGCGCTCCATGGCAATGGACCTAGGTATTTGCAAGACCGCCTCCTACCAAATACCTCCCTTCGACCAGTCCGCTCCCACAGAGAGGGCCTCCTTAGGGTGCCGTCGGCCAGTCAATGCCAGCTGGCGACCCCCAGGGGGAGAGCCTTCTCTGTGGCAGCTTCTGCCCTCTGGAATGACCTACCCCCC